CTTACATCATTTCTATCACATACATAGTTTTAATGAACCAGCTCTTATAGTCACTTCCAAATTGTATACGAATACAAGGATCGCAAACAAGACATTGTGATCATTTATAATAAAAACAAACCAAAAAAAAAACAAAACAAGTATGGCGTAACCTTTAAAGAGCGCATTAGAGCATTGTTGAGCAAGCCGTAAACCATCTGCACCATGTACCAATTGCGTTAATTCTTTCGCAAGTTCTTCTTGTGCTATCCATTTGCCCAAATTAGATTCGTGTTCTGATAGGATCGCATTCATATCATCCAATGATTTCAATGAAAAGTACCTGAGAAATGAAACGAATGAACTGTGATCATGAAGATATTCCTCGCGTTAAAACTTCTTTTCCAAAACTGCCGATTCTCTTCCACTGCTACTCCATCAGATTTGGCATGCAGAGCCGATTACACATTCATTTCGAAAATATTGCTCAGAAAACGTTCTCATCTGAGCAACATTTTCTTAATTCTAAAAAGAAGTGATAAAACTGAACAAAAACTTGATCTCCAATCAACAATTCTCATCAAAATCATCAACAATTGAAAAAGTCACCTCCTCTTCCCGTTGAGACAAGTCAACACCATACGATGAAGTAGCAACTAACCTCATCAATGGAACAATTTGGTTGTCAGGTTGTTGTCTGAAAAACTGATAAAATGCGTACGGAGACGTCTTATTTTCAGACAACCAAACGCTCTCCTTGCAATCCGTTACGGATTTGCCCAGCTTATTACCAGAAGAATCTGTGATCAGAGGCAGGCATATGCCCGCCGACAGACGTTTTGTTCGTCGACGAATGTAATCATAACCAGCATCTAAGTGCCCCAGTTGATCACTACCGCCAATCTAAAAATATGACCATTTCTTCAGCAAAATCATCAGAAAACTTCAAATATCCCACCCAAATCCGCAAATATAAATGAAGAATATTTCAACATTTTCTCCGCAAAGAAACACCAAAAAAAAGAGATGATTCTGTCTGAAGGCGATGATATTCAGGGTGAAAACCGATTATTTTAAACTATAAAACAAGAGCAAATCAAAA